GTGGACATGCCGACCGCGAAGAGGGAGGTGGCGAGGACGGTGGCGGACGCGGCGATGTCCGCCATTTGCGTTCTGAGTCTGTTGGTGGTGCTGGTGCTGCCACTGGTGATGCTGTTGGTGAGCGGTTGCCCCCTCCAAGGCTCCAGCAGTTAGCTGCTCGAATTAGTGGCGATGGGAGAGGCCATGGGGTCGGGGGGGACAGTAGGGCGCGATCACGGGAACGCCCTCACCAATCCCCTTTGGTTGGGTCGTCTTCGACCGTGGGGGGAAAAATACGGGGTGGTGGATCGCCGAGGAGATTGGAAAACGCTCATGGCGGTACTTCCGCTCTGGACGGCAGATGGGTAAGTGTGGCTCACAGAATCATTTCTACAGGAGGAATGCTGGTTTTCTCGTTGCTTCGATTCTTTGATATATGCTCGTGTTTGACTTCGGTGTCGGTGGTTGGGTCAAAATTCGGTTTGTCCATGATCACACAAGAACATGCTCAAATAATACTTGCGCTGTACGTCCGTTTTCGTGTTTCATGCCCCCGGCTGCGTTGTTACCTACTCCAGAACCACGGGCGCTCTGTTGATGCTACGCAAAAACGACCGCAATCTTTGTTTCGGTTTTTCCTGTGCTCCTTTTTGACAAGACCGGTCCAAGTGCAACTACCCGTCGCATTGCAGTGCTCGGTACTTCAGCTCCCGTTACAGGCAGCGCATGCGTAGTTCGCGCATTCATCAGACCGTCTGTTTGTCTGCTTTCGGCCATATGTTTTTGCCTCTTTTCTGCTCTGCCTACTTCCGACTCGTCCCAGAATCGCCTCAAGCGTATGTACGCGAAAACAGATACCGCGCCGTGCATTCTCCGTCACGCCTTCCTTGTCGTTATTGTCATGTCATCTGTGGGTTGCTTCTCTTTGCTCTCGAACAACGTTTCCGGTCCTGCATTTCCTCGTGTTCAAGACGCGAGGCGCGGCAGGAGGTGCTCACGGTGGTTCCCTACCAGCGTCTGTCGATGCTACTGCTGCTGCTGCTGCCACCGACGGAGACGGCGGTGGGTGGTCTCTCCGACGTCTGCAGAAACGAGGTCGTGGCGCTAGTCCGACGGGCATCGAGCGCCTGGAGCAGCCGGTGAGCGCCTCGGAGTTTCAGCGCAACAAAGTGGTCCTCTTTGGGCTTTCCCCCGACGAGCAAATGGCGGCCGAGGCTGCTGAAGCGGCAGACCAAGAGCGTCAAAGAAGACGAGCCAGACGCGCTAGGTTTGTGCACGGGGCACGGGCGGGGTGTGTTCGCCTCACGCCTACACTCTCCTAGTGTTCTTATTCATCAGCACTGGAGCTCACGAATTCAATAATCATCTTAGAGACTGGTGCCAGCATCACTCTGGTAGTCTTTTTAGTTACGACAGAGACAGACAGTCTGCTGTAAAAGTTTACCTTGACCGGCTGGAAAGTGACTTGAACCACACAGGGTGCTTTGGAAGTTTTTTGCAGTTAACCTTCTCAACCCTCGCCCTCGGCAAGGACGCAAGCTTGAAACGGGCCGACCGCCAGCAAAACCGTCCTTCTCTACCGATAATGATTGACCTAAGCGCAGGGACAAGCGTAGGCTGGAGATGAAGAACGACCTGAGCAGGAGAGCTGGACCGGTAATGGTCGCCGTGACACCGGTGGAGTACGCAGGGTGAGCAAGCGTGACGCTCCGCGTCCCATGATAGCTACCTCGCAGGCGGCACGTGTATGTCTGCGCATGATTCCACGCAGCACAAGCTGGATTTTGGACGTGCCAATGTCAATCGACTGTCACGCAGAACACCTTCAACCAACACACCGGGAAACCGCTTTGTTTGGTGCTCGACTTTGGCTGAGCTACTGAGCGAAAGAGTACGACGCAAACAGCGGGGGGCAGGGACCAGGGTACTTGATGAGATGAACTAGCCGTTGCCGAAGATATTCGGGTGAACCTTTACCTTTCCATCTGTCCCGTCCGTGCGCCTGCCCACCCGCCACGGTTGCCCGCCCGCCCTCGCACCAGTGCTGTCAAAGTATCGCTGACATGATGTGTGTCGCCTTTCCCTTCAACTAATTGCGCCGACAACACCGCAACATGGTAGACCATAGTGACGATGGCTGTAGGCAGCCAATCATCAAACAAAAACGCCCCTCCCACCCTTCTCCTCACCCCTGCGCCTCCCCCTGGCTAGCCGGTGAACGTCCCTAAGATCTCCTCCCAAACCTCCCTGTGTTTGCCAGCGGCGAGCGCACCGAGGTTGCCCTTGACCTTGACCGAGGAAACCTTCACGTTTACCACGCAGCGCGGGGTGAGGGGAGAAGGGACAATCACCGGGTCGTGCCGCTCTCGAAGGTGCGCTGTACCGTCGCTCGGTGCCCCCTTGCCCTATGTTTGGCTTGTTGTCGAGCTACTTTGATTATTCACTACGTTGTGAGCGTCCGTGCAATCATAGGTTGCGCGGTGGCGAGTGCTTGATTACCTGATGAAGTCGCTCGGCTTTGCCTATCTTGCGTTGTGTACCTCCTCTCTTTGTGCCTTCATACTTTCTCTTTGGCACTGAGAAACGAAACCAGCATGTTGTTTGCCGCCGTCGCAGCTTTTCTAGCTGTAGAGGAGTGCCATATTGTAGTCTCACCAAATACCACCGATACCGTCTCCTTTGTCTCCCAAGACCCTTGTTTGCTATTCGTGCTTCTGTAGGCACAAAACGAACACCCGCAAACGCAAAACCCTCCAACAACCAACACACAACCTGTGCGTGTGTGGTTGTAGGGCTCAGTTCGAGTTGAGGTGAGCGAATGCATCCATCCGTCACCGTTGATTCCGTCTTTGTTGCAAAGGTGAGCGCATCGGTCGCGAAACGAAACCCGAAGCTGGTGGTTCTCCGTTGGTCTGGCCGACACCTCGCTACTATCGGTCAGGTATTGAAATGTACAATGACGCATATCCTCGATCCCGTCGCATCTCCAACCCTGAGAAGAGGCAATTTCCACCTGACCCCTATCGTTCTTTCAAGTTGGAAGCCACTCCCGTCTTTGTTCTAGCTATTTCGCTCGAGACATTCGTTCCGAAACAAATCCTCCCGATATTTGCTTGTTGCTGGAGAAATTCCGCGTCCATGTATCCGATGCTTGGTCGCCGAGATTTGTCCACACCCTCCGTTTCGCGCGATGCATCGCTAGCAGAGCGACCATCTGAAATACTTCCATTTAGGCCCCGAACGAGGAACACAGAAGAATGCACCGTACAGTAGTGCGCCACCACCGTCAAACTTGAAAAATGCGAAACAAAATTTGTGAAACGCCTGAACACGAAACTTCGTTTGTTGAAGCAATGCGCCGTGCCATCATCCAATCGTTACCATGCATACATACGTCCAGATACAAGAGACGTCCTACATGGGAAGATAAAGACGTTCTCTTTACATTTGCTCGATAAAGTAGGGTGCATGGAGAGAGATAAGCGGCCAGGACGCGGCGCACAGGAAACGTGTCAACGCAGCCAGCAGAACCAGCAGCACTGCCTGGAACACCAGGTCCACTGCATCAGAAACCCTCTTTCTTCCTTCTTCGAGTGCGGCAGCAGCGGGCGCCGGCGTGGCATCGGCGGGTTGGCTCAACCCCGGACCGGAAGACGATGTTGACACGATTTTTGCGATAGAGGCGTTCAGCGTGCGTGCTCGCAGCGGTAACAGGAGCTCGCGCCCGAGGTGTGTGCCCCTAACCCTTGGAGGGATAGGAACAGGGCTTGGGGTAGAGTAGGGTAAGACAGGGCCAGGAAAAGGATTAGGACGGGGGGCAACCCACTTCATGATGGGAAAGGGGGTTAATGCAAGGTGATTGAGGCTGTTCACCTAGGAGGTTTTTAATCACGGCGTACAACGTTGATATATTATGGAGCGCGATGAAAATCGTGGTCCGAGCAATCGGTGTGACGTCGACAAAGACATGACAAAAATGTGTGCACAGGGACCCCCCCCCCCTGATTATCACGTGATCCGTTCGCCCATCTCCACTGTGTCGGCGATCGGCAAGCAGTCGCGTTCCGTCCTCGGCGCGGAGGTACTTCCGACAAGCGCTGCCTGCGGTAGTCAGTGGCAGCGGAGGCGACAGGGGCACCATTTCCGCCCAGGGCAACAACAGCTACAGTGGTAGCGTAGCGGGCGATGTGTCCTTGGAACCTCGCCCTGTGCGTGCCCCGCGCGAATGGCCAAGCATGGCGGCTACGGAAAGAGCACGAACTGGGGCGGGGGATGGTGTGGCCTCTGCTCCTGATAAGGGTGTTAGGGTCCTATCCTCGCATGGATGCGACAGCAGCGGCGCCTTACTGAGACCAACGCCGCCCGCGCATGCAAGGTGATCATGCGTGTTGTGGGAACATATAGCATACACGTTGGGAACAATACCAGGAAAGTTTAGATGGAACTACGTATATGAGAAACGTCGCTTCCACCACCATTGATCAAAACGTCAGCGACGACCGAACGTCATTCACTTTCGTCCAGAGTTCTCGGACGGCAGACCTGGCGCTGCCGCCACGAAGCGACGGAATGTGCACACACCGAGGAGGCCCAGCCATGCACGCAATCCCGCTTGCACATCGACGAGAAACGATACCTTTATCAAAGCCCAAGCGTCAATCCCTTCCTCCCGGCCTACCGTCCCGGACCCGCATGTCTGCTTTCGGCCGCCCCGCGTCCAACGTTCTTTCTTCAGAAGTAGCTCACAGTCTTGGCGTTTCACCACCTGCCCGCCAGAAGAAAGAGGTGCGAATAGTGCCCCGACGGTCGGTGTTGCTTGTAGCCGTATCAGCCCGCTGTGGACGACCCGTACGGCGTCAGCGTGCCGAACCGATGGTGCAGCAACGACGCAGGGGGGAGAGGAGGACGATCGGGTGCCGCCGTACGCCAACCAAGACGACGAAGAAGAAGGAGGAGGAGATGGAGAGGGAGGAGAAGAAGAAGGAGGAGGAGAAGGAGAAGGAGGAGGAGGAGGAAGAGCAATGGAATCGATCGCGGCAGCCCTAAAACAGGCCCAATCAGCGGAAGGCGACGACGGGAAGAGAAGAGACGGAAAGCCGACGTTTGTCGCAGCTCTATCTTCCACCTTCGCGAAACGCGTGGTCACAGGGGCGACCGCGAGCGCAGTCGCAGCGGAGGCGCGTGCGCAGCAAGAAGGAATCGACCGTGATGGTAACGAGGACGAGTGCGGCGACCGCCACATCGCCGCCCAGGACGGTGCCGCCCCATCCCGAGGAATCGGCCACGGCCACCCTGCTCCTTTCAACGCCGACGCGGGCATCCTCCCGAGACGGTGGGCCCTGGAAAACAAGATTAGAGCCAAGAGAACCACTACCCCCGGTGCGCCGCAGGGCGATATCGGCAACGGGTCGGTAGCGTCCAATGGTAAGATCGCTATGGCAGGGGTAACTAGAAAGCCATCGAAACGGTGGCGCATGGTGAAGGCCGAGACGAACGCCGTGAAAGTCTACAGGAGAGCACAAGTGGCCGCGTCGACCAGGGAAGCGCGGCGCAAAGTTTGCACGAAGCGGTGGGGGGGGCTGAAGGTAGCGAGAAACACCACGTCTTACTTGATGCACGCCCTCATGGTCGGTTCAGACGAAATCGACGACGACGAATCCTCATGCTCAGAAGGCGAGGAAAGAGGAGTCGGGGGGCGGGTGCGCGGCAACCGGCCCCGGCGTGGTCGGCGAGAGGTCGGAGATGCGGCCGGGGGCAGTGCATCCGAAAATTCGTCGTCGATATGGTGCGAGAGTAGTAGCAGTGATGACTACTCCTCGTCGGACAAAGAGGTGAGTGTTATGCGGGGGTTCGGATGGGATTTGTAGACAAGGCATTGGAACGTTGCACACGCGCGGAGGAGATTGTTCTTCACTCCTGTTTCTTTCGCTTTTGCTTGCAGGGAGACAGCCACAGCGACGGCTACGCAAGCATGTACATGCAACACGACAGCAGCAGCAGCAACAGCAGGAGTGCAAGCAGCGCCAGCGCCAGCGCCAGCACCAGCGCCAGCACCAGCACCAGCACCAGCACCAGCACCAGCACCGGTACCACTAGCAGTAGCAGTAGCACGAGCAGCAGCAGCAGCAGCAGCTCCGAAAACAACGATGCCCCGCCATCGAAGCTGAGCAGTTACAAACGCATGGCCACCAGAAACGCATTGTCGAGGAGTCGCACCGCCGAGCTCGGCAAGCTGTTCTTCGCCGGGAGCATCGTCATCGCCGGGCTGCAAGAACCACTGCAGGTGCGAGTGGTGTGACGCCGCTGGGAACGGGCAGTGGGTGGGTGGTACGGCAGGGTAGAGTCGCACAACCTCAGGGAACAATCAAGGAGTTCACGTTCCCAAACTCCGCTATTAACGGTAATGGTGTACGCAGCAGCAGTCAGACATTATGTCTAACCCGCAGATGTAGCGAGACCAATAAACACAAGGGGAGGGAGCAAGGTTACCGGAGATTTTGGGCCCAGGGGGTTTGAGGCACGCCGGAAGGCAGGACACCGGAGAGCACCAAGAAGTGCGGCCAACAGCATGGCGGAGAAGGCGCGTCTAACATCAAGACACCTGGTAACACATGCATTTACCGTCGGTGACCGATTCATTTCGCGATGACATCGATTTTGTTTCATCCATCGCTCGTGCCGTGCAGCGTCCAACGAAAAAAAACGAGAGTAACATCATCATGAGAGAGGCTAAAAGTATGCGGCGAATGACGACTAATGAAAAGCAACCGCATGCACGAAGAAGGTTTGGGGTTCGGCGCGTGAAGCGAACCTTGCACCGGAGCTTATTCTGACCGTCAACTAGCACCGATCGATAGACAAGCCTAACTCGCCCATCGACGCACTTACTGCATACAAAATAATGCTCGAACTGAACAGAGGACGAACTTGAGGACATGAAACAACAGTTTCGGGCTCCCAAAAGGTCATTGTCGTTCTCTTTTGCCTTTCTGCTCAACTCCTGCGGTACGTCGAGAAACACGGCGGAGATCGTCGCAACCATTCTTATCAGATTGACTGCGCGACAAAAGAAGCCATCGTCCCTCTCCTGCCACCGCGTCCTCCTTTCCTCTCATCGTCATGACACCACCGCGCATGTCAATGATCACGTCGAATTGAGACAGAAACAACTGGCCGACCAGTTCGTCCGAGATATTCCGAACGTGGAAGTGCGCATAGTCGCCGACGTTGCCAGCACGATTCAGGTGTGTAGATAAAAAGGTGACCATTCAAATAGTCTACAGCAAGGGAGGGGGAACGAAATTAGCGTCAAGTATTTCTTCATAATAATAAGGAAACCGGGATATACGGGTACAGTATTGACGCACATACATCCGTTGGTATTCACACCATCTTTTGTTCAAGGAGCGACGCCGCTCCCTCTCGAAAAGGTTGCATGCGTGGTAAATGGACAACTGCATATGACGAAATGCAACAATTGATCATGCCCTCTCCTTCCCACAGCTTCGTTTACGGAGGATGGCTTTCTTCGCAGCTGCGCGCTTCAGCCGACATTGGTGTATGTAAGCTAGAATTGTGTAATTTAAGAGGGCTTCGTCAGGGAAACCGCCGTTACGCAGATCAGCACGCCCGGTGCTTTATGGTGCCACCTGTTCCTTCTAGAGCCACCAGCACGTTCGTGACTGCTCGCTCGTTGTTTGTTTGTTTGAACAACGGTACGTTGTTAGTTGAAGTTTGGAACATTCTGACTCTGGTGGTGGACGCAGGGGGGCGCCAAAAAATTCACACTTCTGCCCCTCCCTCGGCACACGCCTCAGTCTCTACCCTCCGCATTCCCTTCCGATCGGATTTTATTCATTACAGTATGAGAATATCCTGGTTTCCAAAAATATTCCGGATGAAATGTTCACACGGAAAGCAACGCCACATGTCGATGATATTTAGCATGCGTTTTTCAATGTTCATGTTTGATTTTTTCACCACAGACAGTCCAAATTATGCCCCCATCGCTGGTACTGGTGGCGTGGGCGGCGTTCAGCTCTGCCAAGCTCGCTCGGGATTTCTTGGGCGACGGTGCTCGTGGGCTGAGAGGGATCAAGCCCGGTCTACCGGTGGCTGTAGTTGGAGGCGAGAATGACGGCGAGGTAGGACGTCCAAAAATGAAGGTTTTGAAGGGCGTTGCTGTAGGGATAATATCTATCTGTCGTGCCCCCATATACTAGTTGTCCATCGGCCAAGCGGCTTGTACCCCGTGTTGGAACACTATTGTACTTTTTTCCAACGTGCAGTCATTCCTCTGACCTGCATTCCATCGCCCGCAGGATCTGCTCCGGCGCCTCAAGCAGCCATTATCCATGCATCTTTGCGTCTTCTTCTGAACGTAATGCTGGCTCGAGGGTGGCTAGGAGATCGCCCTCCACACACTCACAAGCCATAGACTTTCACGGGAATGTGTTCTCGCTACATGCCACGAATCACCATGCACCGAAAAGCCATACAACCCGTTCGGAGACTGTTGTTCGCTCTATTGCCTTGCACTTAATAGACTTTGCCTGCTCGATTGTTGGCTTGGAATACTGTACTGTTTTGCGGAAAGCTTGGCTTCGGGGATTGATTGGCAAGCTGCAGAAGGGCTCGTTTTGGTCGCCCAGCGGGCATGTGGTGGTCTAAAACTCCCCTCCGCCCCCCGCCCCCCTTCTCCGATTGTGCGCCACCATCTCCGCCTGGTATGCAGGGGCTTCGGATGAGTTTGAAGGCTATGGGAGCGACCGCTGTTTTGCTGTGGCCGTACAAGCCCGAGGATGTCACGGTATGGCTAATAGCGTTTTCCTTTGGACCTAGCGGTGTCAAGCAGACAAGCAGCAATCCATGCCCTTCGCATCTCAGAGGAGTAGCACGCACGCTCAGGCATTATTGTCCGAGCTGTTGTTTCATAATTTAATTTCATCATTTTCAATGGTTGGTCTCGGTCAGCATCTGCGACTTTTGATTGGCCACGATACTGTCCGGACTATGTTGCAGGCAGTGTAGAAAAGTGCTTACTGGTGCAAGCTGAACACTGTTGTCCTTCCTTCTTTCTCATGCAAGTTCCGACTCGTCCAACACCCTCTTTCCCTGCAACACCCCCTCAGGGTATGTTGGAGACTTGCCTCAACGTGCGGCGTTGAAGGGATGGGATCACCAGCGGCGTGGTCGGTTTTGTACCACTCTGTTGCGCTCTTGAGCACCTGCCTGGGCCACTGCTGTCCCTGCCTGATTCTCCCCTAAATGAATACTGGTACCTGTATACAACGAGAGCTTGCCTAGTGGTGGAGCCCCTCCTCCTCTCATCTCTACATTTTGGGGGGGGGGGGACGGGGGGGAGGGCTTACACGAAAATCTCGCACGTTCAGTAAACTTGTAGAAAATACAGAATTGCTTGTTGTGCGACAACAGCACCAGCAGAGGTCCAGGTTTGGCGCGGGTGGGCTCGGAGGGGGGCAACTTGTATGGTATTGGTTGGTTGCATCCACTGATCAAGGTGCCACGCTCGGCACGCATTGAGAGGTGACCATTTGCAAAGAGCCGTTGCTTGTCGCTCTTCAGCGTACTTGTGCTCCCTCTTCAGCGACATTTCGCCGGGCGGATATCACTTACTTGCGGAACTTTCACCCGTTAGTATCTGGCGGAGCGGGCCGTGCATGCTTACATTGGACTCCTTTTCCCGGGGTAGTGTACACCCCTGTTTGGTCGAGACGTCCGTTGTTAGGAGTGGCGTTGGAGGCTTTGTCTCGATGAATACCAACGACAAGAAGCGTGAGTGTAGGGTGTGGGGTTGGTTGCCTGAGAACCTGGATGGATAGTTCAAGGGCTAAACGATCGTTTGCTTCCGACTTCGGCGAAACTTGATGAAAGCTGCTCCAACCCCGGGGGGGGGGGGGGGGTCGTTGAGGGAGTCCGATGGAAGCCGTTTGTGTAGACCAGTGTTCACATACATGACAGTCTTTGACTTGTCAGCAGCCGTATTGTTACAGCACGCGTCACTCAATGCAAAACTGCGCAGTGTAGTAGTCGACTTCTTCAGCAATACTGTGTGGGACATGCCATTTATGTGAGAGAGGTGGAGGCGGGGGCAGCGGGGCGACATCCATCAAGATCTACGGGAAGAATCGGCGTACAAGCACGCAGTGAAGTAGGTCGAATTCCCGAGGGTAAGGCCGAAGCGTCAACGATCATCTTAACAGCAGCAAACTCTAACATGTGTCGCCGCTTGTGGTAGCACATTAGAAGACATAGCCCAACAATCTACAATGTGCCAGCTCGTGTCGCGCTTCACACCACTCTCCCTCTCTCTCTCTCTCTGACTGGCCTCCCATTCCATCCTGTCTATGACTCAGACCCACCACATAAAGGGCTAAAGAACAGCTTCTAAATGACTGCAGGGTGATCCTGCGGACAACGTCCGTAGTATAGCAGCGATTTCAGGCAGTGCACTGTCTTTGGTGGGCTACCCTCTACCAATTCATAAATTATTAGCGGCTGAGGCGGGCCAAAAGCTCACCCTGCCCCCTTCCGAACGATCCTCTATGGGCGGTCAATCAGAACAAGACGACAGGCCGTCGTCGGCGTCGCTTGTTTTTGAGCTGCCCTCGGGCCGACTTCCATCGCTGGCGCTGACATCACTACTGCTGCCATCGCTGGCGCTGCATCGGCGCCGCCGGTGGTAGCGGTCGGCGATGGCGGCCGCGGCGGCCCTCCCGCCCCGTGACAACCAGCGGCCCTTCGCCACCGCTACGCTGCGCACGTATTCCGCGCACCTGTTTGTGGTTCGTTGGTCGGTTTGGTACGGTGAGTAAAAGCAACAAGAGCAGTAACCACTGCTCTTTGCAAGGCAGCCAGAAGTCGTGCTTGCAACAATAGCAGCCGCAGCGGGGCTTGGCTTGAGTAATTGCTCGAGGCGAAAGCAGCTCGGCGAATGACACACACTTCACAAACGCTGCGACCCGAGCCAATTTAGTAGAAGCGTCGGGTGGCGAAAAATATTGAGAGTGGAGTCTACCCCCGCACAAGGCCGACTGGAGTGTGAGCAACGCTATTTCTACAGTTCAATCAATAAACGATGACTTGAGGCAACAAACAGCGAGGTGATATCCCGGCGTTGCCCCCCGAGCGCGAAGTTTTTCCAACAAGCGACGGAAACAAAATGTGCACATATCAAACACACGGGATGCATGCCGTTGTAGCGCCACCCAATCCAAAGCGAGAAACGATCGGTACCCTCCTCCCCTCTCACCATTGTGCTGTGCAGCCCACTCGCCGCCCGAATCCGACCGCCCTTTCCCGGACCGCTTGAACCCTCGTCTGCGCCACTTGGGCCCCGGTCTGAATCGCCTGTGCCCCCGCCTGGACGGGCGCCCCGACACCATCCACCAGACCGCCTCCGACGTCCACAACCCCGTCCGCCTATGTGCACGCATACAAGCGCACGGATGAGCGGCGGGTGGCGGCGAGGAGGAGTTTGGGGAGACGTGTTGTTATGGGTGTACAGATATCGCAGGGCTGCATAGGGGCGAAAAACAGAACAAAAGTATCACAACATCTATGTAGCGTGTCTCCGTCGAGCAACGCAGAGGGTCGCGAACTGGAAATAAGTTGTGATTTTCACCGGTTGGGCATACTGGCAACAAGCTTCTCTTTTTACCATGCTATCGCCAGAGCATATTCCAATCGCCTCAAGGTTCGCAGCCCCCTCAAACATTGACGGAAGTGGCTGGGATTTGAATCCGCCAAGGGGTTCGGTCTTTTCCCATCCGTTTCCCCGGAATTCTCTTCCCCATGGTTTACTTGTCGCGTTGGTTTCTCATCACGACGTATCTGTAGCACTCTTGGGGGGCCGAAATGAAACAAAGCTGGGGCTAGAGGAGTCTATTGTAGGGAGGACGGCGGTGTTAAGGACGCGACTCGGAAGGGAGCAAACACGAGGGACACCGCCGTGATACGTCACGCACGCACTTGACCTCTTTTTTCCCTACACGCGAAGGTTGACGCGTCGGGTCGTGCATGAACGGACACCGCCTGGGCAGCTCCTCATACTTACCGTGGCCGCCGCCTTTTCCGCCGCCAGAGACGCCGCGTTCTTCGCCGCGTCCCTGACCCCCTTGGTGCTGAGCAGCATCTGCAGGAAACCCGCGATGGCTCCGAGGATGGCGCCGGCGATGATGAGCGTGAATTCATCTTCCTGGAACACCGGGTGAAGCACGCCCTCGAACGTGCGGGTGGACATCTGGTCGATGGGGTTTTCGTTTACCGACAAAAAAAAAATGGGTAGGGAAATAAGGCTGAGGCGAGACAAGCAAATACGCGAGAGCAGCACGAACAAAAACGGCCCATTTCTACATGCATCTACGGCTCTCAAAAAGACACGCCATGCACTTGTTTCCCGCCTTCGTCCCGCCCCCGCCTGTTAAGGGAATGCAGCGAGTCCACACCAATACATACGCCCTCTGTCACCACGCATGCTACTGAGCATTCCCACTCCCCTCGTTCGCCTCCCCAACCCAAGGGCCGTACCGCTACAGCAGCAGTACTGCAAGAAAACAAATCACACGCACCTTCTGCATCTGCACGGTCATGGTCTCTCTCAAGGCCAAGGTCTTGTCGGTGTAGTCGTGCAGGACGTGCACGTGGTCCCCCAGCTTCAACGGTTCAGGAAACATCATGGAGAAGAAGGAAGCACCAGGCGGGCCGCGGCGGTGTTTCAGCGAGACCAGCAGCCATCTCTCCTACCAACCACGTGTCCCTTCGACTCCCAAAACGCGACGCCCATCAAACAAGGACGATTCAAAGCAGCCTTGAGAAATACCACAAAGATCACAGGACTCAGACCACGGGGGACGCGAGCAGCGCATCCTTGCGGTGGGGCAAGTCTCCGGTTGTGGTGTCATGGGCAAGGGGAAAAGAGAGAATGAGAGCAACAAAAAAAGTCACCTTCCCCACAGCCCTGAGCGCAAGACCCTTAACGGCGAGCGGGTCTAGGTTGGCCCCGGCCACCGCCGACGCCCTCGATACGAAGGGGACGACGCGTGCGGCCACGAGCTCTCGGAACGCATCCGCCCGAGACCCGTCGATGATGGAGCTCCACAGCTTGTTGGAGGTCAGCACGTTGCTCGAGAAAAACTCTGCGAAATCTGCGGCAACCTGTTCCAATTGTTTTCGTTGTAGTTGCCGCGGGGGGATATTAGTCGGGAGGGAGGGGTGTGTCTGGATTAGTTTAGTGTTTAGTTGATCGACGTTGTGTGTGCTCATCGTTCTCGGGAGACACGGCGCTCTTGTTGACGGTGTGCCAAAGACTTGTGTCAAAGACTTGTCGGTGTGCAACGGCATATAGAAGATAACAACCAACAGGACGCCTAGGTCGAGTGGGGCTGGGGTAGTTAGTGACATTTGACCAACTCTCAATAGCACGGGCTAGTTCGAGAAGATCACTGTACAAGACTGGTGCGACACGATATGTCGGACCTGTTTTTACCCTGTGCGCTGCTGCTGAACTATGCAACAGACGAATACATATGCCGCCAATCGATCCATGTGACACCTCAGGTTTGTTCTGCTATGGGACGACAGCATATTCCTTTGTGAAAAACATGATGGGAGGTACGACAGGTAGTGACTGGTACCCCCTCACCTGCAAAGCTCTGCTACAGTACAAAACTGGCAACACAGACAGGCATGACCCAGCGTGGCTCGTTCGTCCACACAAATGCTCATCAGCGCCGGAAGACGTTCGCCGACCACCAGAAAGCGTTTCTTCGTGTCCGTCTCGCTCGAAAATGGTGCCGTTCTCAGTCCGCGCGGTGCTGCAGCACGTGTTCGGGTGCAACTATAACACCCAACACGGCACACATCGCGTCACAACGCACCACGCCCGTCTGGCCGCAAGGTACCCACCTCGTCTTGTCTCTTGAGGAACAGCCCCTGCAGGACGAAAGGCCCAAGCTTGACCGGGTCCACCGGCTCGAAGATCAGCTTGATGGCCAGCCAGTTGGTGATGTACCCAACCACGGCGCCCCCCGCGGGCAGAGTCCAGGGCTTGTCGTACAGAAGCCACACGAACATCTGGACCACGCCGAGCAAGAACCCGAAGAAAAACCCACTTTAGATCGTTTGAGTAGGAGCGTACGGGGAGGGAAGAAAGGAGGAACAGGGTTAGGGTTCGAGGTACCGCAGTGAAGCACGTGCCTGGTCGCCGCGTCTCCGAACGGTTTTCGTCACCCTTTGGGATGCGGTACAATGTGTGTTTCGAGTCTGAGTTAAGACGCTCCGCTGTCCGTGAAAGTTGCGCACCGTGATCGAGCCTGAAGGGGAAGAAGTTGGTCGTGCCTCACAAAAAGGGCACGCGCGCGGAGCGGCCGCACGTCCTCTGGCACATCGACTTGTTTGGGCTTATGACGTGCATGGAAATAAATTGCCGGTGTAGTGTGCATTATTCCATTTATCCAGGACGTCAGGTTTAGCACCTTTCTTTCAGTACGTTGGCATCGGCCGGGGTATTCCAGACAGAGAACGTTGACTTCTTTGAGCAACTGCCCTTGGGCGACACATTTAACTCGGTGGCCGCAACACCGCCGGCAGCACTGAGACCAAGTAGGACGTGGACAAAGACAACGGAAAACAGCAAACATAGTCGTTGGGCGACACCTGTTGACGAGGAACTTGAACTCGGCCTTGCCGCATCGCTGGAACAGCGAGACCATCAGGGACCGATCCCGGAGCATCTCGCCCACCACCATCTTCTTTAGGTCCAGCACGTGGGTCACCTGCTTCTGCATGTCCTTCGTGATCCCCACGAGCATGTTTCGGCGGAGCCCCTTAAGCTCGTCCACCTTTTGACGAACAACCACATCGACACGGACAGCACGAGCAACACGAGTACGTATACCATGAAAACAGACAGCAACGGTGCCTCATCGACAGACCGCAGCAGATACGCACACCGGTGCGATGTCTCCTCCTCTCATTATTTGAGGCTTCTCCTTGTCGCCGCTTTCAAAACGTTCCTCATGCTATGCCGTCCTGGTTCTCGCGGCTCCGACTTGCCCCGTTGGCCACAGCCGTGCCGCGCGCGTCCCCGCACCCCGGCAGGTCAAATTTACCGCCGGGCGAACTCCCACTACCGTTGGGTGTACATCATTCGTGTTCCCTCTTGCAACCGCTTACCATATTTCGGGGGTCGCAAAACGTGCGCCATATAGCCCAAGATCGGCTCTTGAGGAAACCCGATCGGTGAAGGGCGGGGCTATGGGATACAAATAACATGAGCAGGCATGGACAGATAAGACAGAAAGAAAATTATCTTGGCCGAGAGAGACCTCAAGCTCTTGGGAACCACCGCATGGCATTGGCTTTGCATCCCATCATCTTCTCACCGCCTGGGGGACGAGCCCCGACCCGAAGCTCCCGGGCACCCAGGCCAGCGGCCCGGGCGCGAGGTCCTCGTACACGCTCTGCACGATCGAGTCTATCTCCGGGCCGAGGAGACGCGCCACCTGCCCCGGCGAGAGGCGGCGGAACACCTGTTTCCCGATATGTTGAAGTGTTCCCCCGTCGGTTGGCGGTCGCGGTGGTAGACGGTTGGCACGGCGAACGTGCAGTTTATTAGTGCGCACACACATACGTGTCGTCTCTTCAATTGGTCAGCCGGGCTAGTGCGGTCGATGCATATGAAAAACACACACACACAAACACACATGATGAGACCTGCCGTCTGATTTCATGTGCGGCCTCTTCAGGTTATCGTAATCATGCCCGTCTTAGTGTTTGTACGGAGCACCGGTCCTCAACAACACCGCCTCTAACGCATCAAAGATGCTTAGTTTAACTAACTCCATTTCCACAGATTGGCCGGTGCAGCGGTAGTCGAGCCAAACGCACCTCATCCACGTCGACCAGCTGCGTGGTAACCATGTCAACCATCCGTTCCGCCATCACACCCGCCTTAGCGGGCACGATGCCCTGCCAGCCGAGCAGGCCGAGGGGCTGACCCTTGACCACTCGCAGCGGGATGCCCCTCCACACCAGAGGGTGGAAAATCATCTCCACGGCCAGCTGATGTTGTGGGTGTCGAGAAAAGCGGCGACGTCGATTGGGCAGAACTACACACGAAACAAGTTGCACTTCGAAATGACGGGGGGCCGGCATCACATCGTTTACCCGTCTCGCGATTTTTTTCGTTGGTGTACCGAAAATTGAGTAACAGAGCGATTAGCGTCCAGGGCAGCGTTCCCGTTTGGACGTTGCGCAGGCCTCTGACGGTTGTTTCATTCACACACCAACCTTTCCCTTCCCGCACGTGCAATGTGCTCCTCCCACCCCGTTCTCCCTCATGCCCATCCAGCACTCTACGCTGTCGGCAACAGCATTATTCGTCAGCCAGCCTCACCTTGTTCGTTAACCAGCCTACGCATGCCGCCGATACCGGGATGGTGAGGATCTGGAGAGGCTCCTTCTTCATCTTGGCCAACGCGTAGCGCCACCTGCTGGGTAGAAGACCGTGTCCGATACAAGTATTCAATGTCAGCCATACGATATAGGCGTACATAGCAGGCTGTCCTGTGCAGCACGCAGTTGGTACACAAGCGACGATAACCTCCGGCACGTTGTACTTGTTCGCACGACCACCGTAGGACGCTATGCGTAAACCGCAAGCAATAATCGGATCATAATCCAGCAGAAAAGCTCCAGTATATCCTCGCTAAAAGACGGGTGTAGCGTAACAAAATGCGTGTGTGCCTCTCTTCCCGAGAAGTCAGGACGAAAAGAGCATGGCTCGCCCCCGTGATTCTCCCTCCAACTCTCTCACCGCTTCCAATCCTGAGACACGTTCCTACCGACCCTTAAGGTATCTCTTTCAACAAGCGAGTCTCTGGACTCTGTTTCGATCTCCATGCTGTCCCTTTAAACATTCATTCGGCCATACGCAGGCGCCGCGCTAAACAATCATGACTCTCTGCACCACACAACGCACCTAGCAGCCTCCGTGAGCCTCTGCACTCTACCGATGGCGAGTTGCCACCTACATGCTCTTCGCGCTTGCGTCAACCGATAACTCCTGTCCGGGGCCACAGAGAAAAAAAAAACTGGCGTACATGCCTTCTTAACCCCTTTGGTTCTAGCTATTTTGGGAAGAGAAAGTGCGGGAGAGAGGGACATAAATAAGTACGACAGCGAAAGAGACAGAGTGTACTTCTGTAGACGAAAAGCTATCTCCGCTCATAGGCCATGAAGGCTGCCCGCGACAAGACGGTGGGCACAGACAGGGTCATAGGAGGGTTGATGCGTGGTCGCGGTGCGGCCGGTGGGGCAGGTTAGGCTTGAAGAGCTCGAAACGATCAGTCGTCAAGCCGCTTGAATTACTCTATTTTCAGTGTATTCAAATGATAGTGAAAATGATGAGTGAGAGGGCTTGTAGACCCATAGCTGGTTCTTGTACTTCTGTACTTCTCTGTCCCCTCCCCAACGTGCGCCCTGCCGGCTCACTACAGCTCCTGTGATTTTCCCACGATTCCCACAAGCACGCAGTCACACCACAGCACACACCTACCTTTTCATCAGTGGCTCCCTGGGTTTGGGCGAGGGTATGTGTGGGGCAATGATGACAGTTTATGTGCTCCTACTGCTGTATGTTGGACTCGTCTGTACTGCAGCTGCTGTGTAGTATAGCTGCCGACACGATGACTGCTGCAACTTGGGAGTGTACGATTTTCAAATTTGGAGGATATGCAGCATGCCACGATATCCTGGCCTGGTTGGGCTTGAAGTGCCCCTTATCGCTGTCCTCCTATATTTGCTGTAGTGGCTTCCTACATTCGGGCGAGGGCATTTATGTGGAGCTATTGATGTGTGTCTGTGAAAGGATGGCGGGAGAGATTCATGGTGGCATTCGCATTTAAAGCAGTGCGCATTTTTCGAATTTTGGCCCTTCCAGGGCCCTTGATATTACCCGCTGGCACTACTGTAACGTCTTTGCATTGGTCACCGTGTAGCGCGGTCGATGCAAATGATCAAGACACACCTACACCTATTGACTTGCCAACACCTGGCGTGGAGGGATACAGGGCGGCAACCCCATGGCATGCCACAACACCAGCACCAGCATTTGCAAGTGATCAATCATCTGTCAGGACGCCTGTAGACCCAACGAGGTTAACATCACTCCCATAGAGCATCGGGAATGAAAAAACGCTGGCAATAGGGTGGGTAGGTGCAGGCAGGAAAATACAAGCTGTGGACATGTATGTGTGCTTCGCTTTGCGCGGTGTCTTGACGACTTAAGTAGCTCTGCGAGATGGCACGGGGTGACCGCGACCTATAGCACTTCATTTGCCGCGGACTTCCTGGTTCTGGTACCGAGAATTGACGCGACTGAACACACCGCGCGTAGGTTTGATACTCGGTCCTATTCTGGGGACGGGCTGAAGGCTCTCGCACTCGAGGAAGCGAAAGCAGCCACCAGCAAGAGCCGAGGTATTCCCATGCTTCCCCTTTTTTATGCGGCCCCTAGCCTCTCTATGAAGACCTGTCTCTAGGCATCCGAGCTTGTCTCTGGTTTGTCTACCCTGCCCCCTCTCTGCCGTGCCTGTCTATCAGATGCCTTTTCTTTCTTTCCTTTCTGTGTTTTGTTTCCTTTGCCCCCCGCCCCCCCGCCGCTAGAGTACGCCGGAGAAGTATGGGAAGGAAATAAGAAGGTAGTGAAAGAACTCGAGGCGGCGCAGATGAAAGCAGCGAAAATCATCCTAGGATGCTCCAGGCGCACAAGCAATGCAGCCGTCAGGGCAGAATTGGGGATCCAATCCCTACGGTCGGGAAGAGACGCGAGGAAGCTGACATGGCAGTATCGCATGTGCGGGATGGGAGAGGAGAGGTTGCCGAGAATTGTATGGGAGGCGAAGTGGACAAACATAAAGAGGGGTAGACATCCCACGGAATGGGTCAAGGTTGTAGAGGGCGTATGGAAGGGGCTCGACATCGACGAAGATGAAACGCTGGAAACGGAGGGTCCACAGGGGTTCAAGGAGAAGATATCTGATGCTTGTGCCGAGAGAGAAGAACAGAATCTGAGGAAAGAATCCAAGGATAAGGAGGGTCTAGAAGTGTACGGAATGTTGAAGGAAGGAATAGGGTTCAAGGACTACCTACATGGACCAATGGATGCAGGAACAAAGCTTAAGGTCAAATTCAGGACCGGGGACATAGGNNNCGAGAGAGAAGAACAGAATCTAAGGAAAGAATCCAAGGATAAGGAGGGTACAGAAGTGTACGGAATGTTGAAGGAAGGAATAGGGTTCAAGGACTACCTACATGGACCAATGGATGCAGGAACAAAGCTTAAGGTCAAATTCAGGACCGGGAACATACCGTAAATGACACAATACTTTTA